GAGAGCACCCGACCCCAGTGAACCCAGTGCCTGCGGCACTGCAGCCTCCCTCCTGTCCTCCATTGCAGGGGCCATCTTGCTAGTGAGAGCACCCGACCCCAGAAATTGTATCCCTTGGGACACCTGGTGGGGGCAGGGGGGCTCAGTCTGGTTGAACATCCAACTCTGGATTTCCACTCGGTTCATGATCCCAGGGTCATGGGATCAAGCCCCTCGTTGAGCTCTGCGCTGAGCATGGAGCCTACTTAAGATTCTCTCTCTCTGGGCGGGCATGTCACCTCCCCCACCCTTTAGGTACAGGTGTGACCTTGAGCCCCTTGCCTAACCTCCTTGGGCCTCAGATTCACCACCAGTGAAAGGTAAAGTAGGGATAATGCTAATATCTGCCTCAAAGGATTGTTATGAGGACGAAATTGAATAATGCCCAGTTTTAGCCCTTCCCCAGATCAGACGCTTGCAGACAGTGGAGCCACGCACTCGCCCTTGGCCGATGAGTGGCATCTTTCTAGCCCGTTAACACCACTTTACTCTAATTCTGCATCTCCAAGAGATGCCTGGATTCTGGGCAACGGGGTATCTCGTAATGGGGGACTGAAAATTCCCTGAATACAGCTGCATATGGAGGTCATTTTCTGCATTTTAAATGTCCTGGGTCCTCCGCGCCACAAAGCCCTCTCCCACCCTTGCATCCTCCCACCCCCACCCCCGGCAGCAAGGGCATTTCTTCCTACTACTCCTGCTCCACACAAGATGGTGTCCAAGCAAGCCCTTAGATGGGGCTTTGGCCTTGTAATTTAACTAGATCTAGCGCCCCACCAACCCCCCCATTAAATTTTTATTCACTGTTCTGATATATTAATTTTGCTTTTCTTCCCTTTTGCAGGTAAGTCACTGATTTTTCTTTTTTTTTTTTCCCCTCACGGAATAGATTCCAATTTCCCAAAGATTTAAATAATCTCCCCAGCTGTCTGGCCACCCCGCAGGACCTGCCCGTTCCCCTCCAGGACTACGGCCTCCAGGCCTCCTCCAAGTGGGGTCTCAAGAGCCCCCCACCTACCCCCCACGGCTCCGCAGTCAGGCGGCCAACCCGCCTGTGAGGTACACAGCGCACCCATCCCGCCCCAGCCAACACACCTTACACTTACACACACACTCCGTGAAGAGTTGCGAACGGGAAGCCGCCGGAAGCCCGACGGCAGCAGGTTTATTACCACGGTTCTTTTCAAATGCAAAATCCGGCCCACGAGTTCACAGATTCGGATTCATCACCTTGCCCCACCCCGCAACTCACCCGCATACGACGCGTCACCATGTACGCACAAAACTCCCCGCACGTGACCTCAGCCCCACGCAGCCTCCCACGACCTCTCCCAACCCTCCATGCTGAGGCGCACACTGGACCGAGCCGGGTGTGGAAGTCCCTTCCCGCGCTAACCGTCCACGGTGTTCTCCGGGCCGGGGCGCCCCGAGGCCCGTCGCTGTTCCTCGCGCGGCCCGCCGGGCGGCGGCGGCAGAGCCCGGGAGGGGCACGAGGGTCCCGGTCTCCCTTCTCGTCCGCTTGCGGCCGGGCTGGCGGGGACGGGCCGAGGCGGCCTCAGTACAGCTCCTGGTGATGGCGGCGCCCACGTCCTGAGGGGCCGGTGCCTCCACCAGAAAGCTGATCGCTACTCCGACTTGATGAGCAGGTTGCAGCCCAAGAACACGCCGAAGACCACGGTGAGCGACAGCACGCAGAGCACAGCGATCTGCGCCACGCGCGACACCACACAGGCTGCGCTCGTCGGGCGCCAGCCCTGGGTGGGGACTGTCGGTGGCGGCCAGCGGCGGTGCGCCCCTCAGCAGCAGCCCAGCCACGCCCAGCCTGTGGCTGCGGTGGTTCCCCAGGGTGGCCCCCCCACGCCGCCTGCCGCCCGCCGCCTCCAGGCTGCTGTGGGAGTCCAGGAAGGTCAGGCCCACGGGCTCGGCGCCTGGGTCTCGGCGCGCGCCGGCCGGGCGCGCGAGGGCGCTGGCCGCGCCCGAGATGTTGGGGTCCAGCCGCGGGGCGGGCAGGGGAAGGCGGATGTCGCCCGTGCGCCGGCACCCTCCCCTCGGGTCGCCTGGCCCTGGGCACCGGGCGGGGAAGCAGGCCCGGAGGAACGAGCAACAGGGCTGCGCGGGAGCTGAGCCGAGAGCTGAGCGTGGAAGGTCGCAGTTGTCTGGCCGGGCGGCCTGCTGACCCCGCTGCCTCCCAGCAACGGTCTCCCCGCCCCCCCCTCCTTCCTGCTCCCTCCAGTCATGCGGTCTCCAGTCCCTCTGGGTCCGACAGAGCAAGAGCCCTGCCCTGGGGCAGTGGCGGAGGGTTTCGGGCTGGGAAATCTCCCCGAGGCGCCCATCCCGGGAATCGGTGCTCGTGGCGGTTCAGCTCCTCCTGAAGTCGGCCCTAAATTTCTGCTCCGCTCTTTGGCTCCCAGTAAACCTTCCTGGACATCAGAGAAGTAGCTCTCACCCCCGGCGTTGGCTGCCCTCTCCTCTCTCCCTTCTCCATTGGGGCGGTGGCGCTGGGTCCGAGCGGTCCCGCCACGCCCCTACCCGCTCCTCGCTGATGTCCCCAGGCTGAAAGCAGTGGCTGCGGGGCGTGCTGTCTTCGTCCTTCCCACCCCACCCCCATCCTGCCCCATTCGATTTTTTGTTTTTAATTCAAAAAGAAGTTACTGAGGTCTTCCCCCCATCCCCCGCGTTCCTTTTGGCAAAAAACGCACCATTGCAAACTAGAAAGTATGGATTAGCAAAATGAAAAAAAAATCGAAAACCTCAAAATCCTACCCCCCAGAGTGTCGACGTTACCACCTTGGTACAAAATCTGGGCTTTTTTTCTTTGCGAGTCTCCATACATTTATTCAAATAGAGGTGCATTGTTAGTACCTACTGTTTTGTCATTTAATTGTGTATCTTTTCGTAGTGATAAATATTCATCTACAACAGTGGTTCTGAATATTCTGGAGGACTTATTATGTCGGGGTTGGGGGCCCCAGAATGTGCATTACTAATAACCCTCACAGGTGATGTTCATGCTGCTTCCGGGTCCTGCTTTGAGAACTACTGATCTGTAATACAATTTTTAGTGAAGGAATGGTGTTTCAAGGGTAGAGACTACTACCATTTATTTAAGGAAGATGTTTATTTTTGGATATTTTAGTTGGCCCCCCTTTTTTGCATCAGAACCAATATTACCATAAAGAGCCTGTATCAAAGTGTATGCAAAAACTATTTTTTTCTTGATTTTTTGAACAATGGACCCACAGAATCCAAAGATTACATCCTACCAAATTGCTCTGCAGAAATGAACCAGTTTACACTGCAGCCCTATGGGGAAGGCGGGGGGCATTGCCCCTGATCCTGGTTATTGTCATTATTTTCATAATCTTTGCCTGTGTTTATGGGATGTGGGATGGTTTCTCATCCTTGTATAATTTGCATTCTTTGAGCTGTGGAGAAGGAAGGAAAGCATCTAGGAGTGTTTTCCAGAGCCCAGGCAGAAGATGCTGTGGGAGGCTTGGATTCCGCTGGTGGTGGCGGAGGGAAAGACCTGAGGATGGAAAGGGCTTGGCAAGTGGGCGTGAGGGTACCCAGGATATCCCCAGCATGGAGTATCTCAAAGCCACCGCTCCGCCATTAGAACTAATACACATGTGTGTGTGTGTGTGTGTGTGTGTGTGTGTGTGTATCTCCTGGGAAGCTATTAAGTTTCTCATTTTAAACATGAGGAAGGGTGCCTGAGTAGCTCAGTCGGTTACGCATCAGACTCTCGGTTTGGGCTTGGGTCACGGTCTCGCGGTTTGCTGAGTCTGAGCCCCACGTCCGGCTCTGTGCTGGCAGTGCACAACCTTCTTGGGATGCTCTCTCTTCTCCTTCTGTCTCTGCCTCTGCCCCCACTCACAGTCTCTGCCTCTCTCCAAATAAATAAACTTTAAAAACATTTAAAGATGAAGAAACTGACACACGTAAATACACACACAGAGACACCCAGGAGAGACCGACGGATAGACCTGGCTCACCTTCCTCCATCCTGGAAAAGCCGCTTGGGACAAGGGCACTCACCATTTTCTGGGCAGGAGTCTCCCTGCCCTGACTACCCCCCAGAGCCAGGATAGAACAGGGAGACAGCAGGTTCCTGATGAGATATTTTGTTCCCTGCTTTTGACCAGTTGGATTTCTTTAGAGAAATGCTTGGTTATGTCCTTTGTCCATCGTTCTCCTGAGACCAACCCCCGATCTTGAATAATACACTCTGGACGTGGAGCCCATATTCTTGACTCCATCCGGCTGAGGTCAGGCTGCCTGTGGCACAGAAAGCAGGGGCAGGAGGAGTAAAGGTGGGGTCTAGGGGCCTGCCTACTCCAGCAGGAGGCTGTGAGGAGACTGATGGCTGACCTTCCCTTTATTAAGCACCTACGATACGCTCAGTGCATTAAATATATTACCTCACTGTTACACCAGCCCTTGGTTCTACTGGACTGTCCTCTTGACATGAGAAAACAGAGGCTCAGAGTGGTTAATTGGCTTACTGAAGATCACACAGCTAGTTAAGCATCAGAGCCAGAATTTGTCCTGTTCCAAACAGGACAGAGCCCTGTCCTGTTCCAAAGCTATGTTTTAATTATTCCCATGCCCCTCTCTTCCATCATCCCTGTGCTGGTTTCTGTAGCTACCTGCGGGGAAGAGGAAGGTGCTGTCTTTTTGACCTGTGGTCAGGAAGGGAGAGACAGAACATGGGCTTGTGGAAGTAAGCAAAGACCACCCACGTGAGAGCAAGCAAAGGCTGTGTTTTCAGAGCTCGCTACCACAAGGGAGTCAGCCCCCATCGCTTGAGTTTGGGAGAATTGAAGGCCGGCCGAGGAATAGGAAATCTTTATAATGGGAGAGAGGGAAGGCTTCAGGTTCTGCTCAGAGGCTGTTGGCATGGAACCTGTGGATGTGCTCGCTAGAAAGGGGGGTGCCCTATGTGATTGGGTTCGGGGAGCATGTTTGGCTTTTCCCAGTTTGTCCTACGTTGGAAGCAGGGGCAAAATGAGGGAAGCTGTCAGCTGTTGGTCCAGTCTTGGCTGCGTCTGGGCTATTACTACACGGGTATGCTTTGGCTTCCCAGACTAATGGCAGCAGAGAGTGGTTTCCCTCCTTGGCTGTTGCTACAGGTAGTGATCAGAGTTCTGTTTTTCTATATGGCGTGGCCCCTGTTTGTCTGTGTATCTGGTCTCTCAGACTCCTCCCCAGAGTCCTGGAGGAGGGGCCTTCCTGGCCTGGTGCTGGCCAGAGGCTTCCTGCCTCGGGCTCCCTCCTGCCTTCTGCCCTTTCTGGAGCCCCTGGTCCCGGTAGGTCTCCTTGCTATTTGCTGTGCACCGTCTCAATTCTCATAATAGCCCCCAAAGGGAAATTATATTCGTTATCATTGCCGCATCATAGCTCATCCCCAAATTTAGCAAATATTGATGATTTCACAGTTTTCTGAGGGCCAGGAAGCCAGAAGCGGCGTAGCTGGCTGGTTCTAGCTCAGGGTCTCTTGTGAGGTTGTAGCCCAGGGGTTGGTGGGGGCCACAGTCACTTGAAAGCTCGCCTGGGGGTGAAGGGTTGGCTTCCAGGATGGCTGCCTGACACAGCTCTTGTCTTGAGGCCTCAGTTTCTGCCCAGGTAGACCTTTCCACAGAGCCCCTCTTGAAGAACGTGCTTGGCGGTGGACCACTCGTGGGAGGGGTGGAAGAGTGAGCTTGTAGAGGGCAGTGGGTTAGCTATCATTGTTATGTAAGCTTCATGGCAACCTAATAGAGAGAAACCATTAGCCCCATTTGACAGATGAGAAAATGGAGCCTCTGAAAGGAGAGAGATTTTGCCTGAGGACACAGAGCCTGTAGCTGATATGGCCAGGATTTAAGCCCTTCTCTGCCTTAAAACCTAACCCTAGCTCTTGCCAGCCCTTGGTGTGCGTCCAGGGGGGTGGGGTGGGCTTCGTTGTTAGGGAAAGACGCCCCTCCCCCAGCCCCCAGAGCCTCCGGGAGGCCTCAGGAGCCTGAGAAGTTGTCTGTCAACTGGGCTGCCTTCTCTGCTCTAGAGACAAGGAAGCTGGTGCCTCTGGGCCCAGCTGCCACCCACACAGGACTATTTTTACCCTCCACCTCAGTGACAAGTCTGCATCTCCCCGCTCTGGAAAGGCCATCTGGGTAGTCTGGCTGTCCCAGGAAGAGCCTCCACCCTGAGGCCACCGTTTATGCCCTGCTGTTCCCGCAGCTGTTTCTAGATGAACCTTTAGCTCTCCGGCATGCCTTGGCCAACCGAGGTCAGTACGACGCCTCCGTCCCCTGGATTCCTGTCAGCACAGAGCCCTACGCAGGGTTCGAACCCACGCACTGTGAGATCGTGACCTGAGCCCAAGTCGGACACTTAACCCACTGAGTCACCCAGGCGCCCTGGGGCCATTTTAACGATACGAATGATTTTATTTGCGTCTTCAGACTACACACAGAAACACTTGAAAACTGCAAATACATGACTGTTGTATAACGTACTTCAGGGAGTCTGAGAACCTTTGGACATAATTTATTTTCTGAAGTGGTCTCAAACAACCCCCTAGGATCCTGCGTGTGCTATTCATTTGTTTGGCAAACTCTCCCCGAGCCGGTAAAGGTTGCCTCCTGCCAGGTTCCTGTCCAAATGATCTCATGTTTCACCCTGGCAGACGGGAAGTTAATAATGTTTTACTGCAACTCTCACAGAATTAAAATAAACACAATTGTCAGGTTCAGCCTTTGTCCCCCATGCAAAGTGGAAAGCAGAGGAGCCCCCCCCCCCAAAGCAGCAGGAGGGAGAGACACGGCAGGGGGTTCTGTGCAGTGGTAGAAAGGGGGCAGTGCCTGTGTAAGTAGCACGGCAGACAACTGAGACACGGATCATGGGGGATCGTGGAGCTGCACACCCCCCTCCCCCCACCTCCCCTCCCCCCACCTGTCCGATTTGTGTTTCGGAGAATACCTGGATTTGGAGGACCTAGGATCTATTTCTGCTTCTGCCCCTAATTGACTGCGTGACCTTGAGCAAGTTAGTCATTCTCCCTGGGCCTCGATTGGCTCATCTGTAAATCAAGGGATCTGGATCAGATCATCTTCAGTAAAACTGCATTTAGAAAAACAGGTAGTGGGTCAGACGGGCCATGGTCTGCCTTCCTCGGCTCTACATTTCCTGAGGGGTTCAGAGAGCACGGCGCCCAAGATCTGTGCCTGGTATGCACCTAGAGCGCTGCCTGGGCCCCCATTACCCCAGCTGTGAAATAAGGAGCATGATGAATACCTGCGTCCTGTGAACTGCCCCTTAGAGGTGACACTGACCAAAAGAGGTCTGTTTAATACAGGACTTCTCAGAGCCTTTAATACGTTGGTGTGCGTTGTGAATTTCCCGGGGTTGGGGGGGGGG